CATGTACCAAGTTTCAATAAGATATCTCAATTATTAGTCAAGTTATCGCACACAGACAGTTACGCAAGTTTCAACTCGTCTAATCAACCTGAGCATATATGTGCGAGTTGAAACTATGGTGCGCAGACATATATATATATATATCTGTCTATCTATCTTGTTTAATTCTAGGTGTTACAACAACCCGTCAGATAACAAAACTATTTTCTCTGTTGCAACATGTCGAGAAGGTATAATTACTATCAAGTATATAACACCTTGTACACACTTAAATTTTCCATTCATCTTTTTAAAACGGCTTATGTATTGTAAAAAATTTAATAATGTTTTAAGAAAATCACTCCGATTCATGAACAGTTTCTGCGGTAGTTTATTTAGAACTGATTAATAAAGAAGAAAGGTACAATTTTTATAATGAAACAATACTTCAAAATCATTAAGTATGTATAATAACGTCTTTACATAGAGAGAGTGAGAGTAAGATTCATTATAGCATAATTAATGTTGGCCATGGTAGGTTTGAATTCATGCTACATTTTTTACATGTATCGAAGCATACCCTTTCAGAAAAATGAAAGCACTTTCCTTCCTCTAGATAATATCATAATTTTGGCATACCTGGACGTACCTGTTCTAGTTGTGAACCTGCGAAAAGGTTAAGGCAAGGTTTAAGGAAGGTGGTACCTTTCCAATACTGTAAAAGACCTCTATACTTCGAATAGTATATGTTACCTGTCCTCCCTCAATAAAAGTTTGTCCATTTGACTAGATCAGCATCAGTCACGTCCTGTCTTTAGAGACGAAAACATAAGATACAATAGTTAAAATGTCCACAAAGAAATATTTTCAGAAAATTCATAAGCCCACATTGAGCTACACTCTATTTTTGCATCTGATGGAGTTAAAGATCCGCAAGAAACGTTTTCGTTCCTGTTTGTCGCTGATAAAATCGAAACTTTTAGTCACTGACACACTAATCTCACAAACAAAAAATCGAAATAATTTTACGGATTTAGAAACTCTCAGACAGGAGCGGATTTTTAGCAATCGTTTGAAATTGTCTATGTTACGAATCTTATCGCAAAAGAAATCAGGACCATTACACAGAGAGGAGAAACGAGCGAAAGTGGCAGTAATACGACGAAGAGATGATGACGATGAAGTAAACCACTCTAAGCGACAGAAATTAAACAATATCCCAGAGGAGATAGAAAGTACGGATTTTAAGGGGAAAACGAGTTCACGGAGAGCTTTATTTTTCTGATTCCCTGTATTCACCTAATAGTGTTTAAGAAAAATTTTGTTTTTATTGTGTATAAGATCTGAATTATTTATTAAAATTTGATACAATGTAATATAATATAAAAAATTTTAAACATGAAATACTAGCATAATTCACATAATAAAGGGTTTTCCAATGGCATGTTCACCTAAATTGACAGTTTGGTGTGATTTTTGGTCTGTCCGTACTTCTTTCGAATTCAAGATGGTGACACCCTTACTGTCAATCGAGAGCGGTATAGATCGATGACGGGACTACGTGTCACACAGCACGTGGAACAGCCGAATTATTACGATAAATGTTTGGAGATTCGATTATTTCAAGAAATTGTGACATTAAGTGGCCTCCAAGAAGTTGTGATTTCAAACCATTAGACAACTTCTTGTTGTGTTATTAGAAGTCACTGGTCTTTAACAATAAAACAGACACTCTTCAAGCTTTAGTATTGAACGTGCTATTTATGGCATACGACTTGATTTATTGAAAAAAGTACTCGAAAAACATTTGAATTTCCTTAACAATTAGTGTGTTGCTTTTGTTTTAAATCATAAGGCTGTTATTATAAAACCCTTTGCTTATTTTAAAAACTACGAAATTTTTGGGGTAAATTCGCAAGCTTGCTAGGTATTTTAGATTGACCTATTACTGTTTTAAAAACCAAGAGAAGAGAAGATTCCAAAATTAAAATTGTAATAATAATTTATAAGATTAAATATTTTTATGTTATATTAAGTAATGGTTTGAATTGGGCTGGAAACCTTAATTGGAATCCGAAATCAATACAAAGATGTAGATCTAAATATACGTATTAGATTAAATAAATGATAGACTTGTAGGAATGTTGAATTATTTTAGACAACTTTTTGAATAAAGTTGCTACCTGACGGAAAAACTAAAACTGAAAATATTTCGGAAATGTTCAGGAATTTAGATAGATTTTCTAACAGAGTTGCCATAAACAATATTATGTAGTCACTAACATAAGCGTCAAATTTTAAAACTTGTTATTATGTTATGAATGCAAAATCGGTACTGGTTAAGCTGTTGTTAAAGTTTGAATTGTTTTCCTTTTTAATAGAACAAACGGCTTCTACCTGAAGTATTATACTTTAAGGGTTTCCCGATTTAACATAGTTAAAACACCGAAAATACCTCAATAAAGCGGATGAGAAAACTTCAACAAAATCGGGGTATATACCTAACATAACATACTTGTTGAATTAGCCTTCTACTTTTCTTTATTGTCCATTTAGGTGACCACAGTTATGAGAGCATTCAGCTCATTTCCATCCAAAAAATTGTCCGCAATTTAAAAGTACCAACAAGTTCAGTATTTAAACGTTGCGAGTACCATCTTTTATTTTTGTCCTTGTGGCAAAATCACAAGTGAAGAGATAAAAGACAATTCCATCTTAGCTTCTAGAGGTTTTGAATTATAACTCTGTAATAATTTCTTTAATCATTCGTAGTATCCTCTTACTGGACCTAATATACCAATTTCAATTCGGTACTTACCTTGACATTACTATGCTCCAGTGCGCCTACTTCCCATATAGCACAATTTTAAATTCCATCTGATAATTTTACTTTCCAGTATGCAAATCAAACACCAATGAACGCATGGGAATAAAACTTTAGCGGAATGGTGCGCTTAAAGTTGGCCACCTTATGACCAAAAATTGTCAACATCGGACTACAAGTGTTCAAGCCCCCGGATACCAAATATATGGAATGAAGATCGGTGAAAGTATGTGAAAAGATGAGAGAAATTTTGCATCAATCACAAACTGATGTTTCCAGACATAAATTGCTATTACCTTAACTTGTTGATCAATCACTGGGACATGTTGTCGCCTGTCATGGATTTGCGACGTCGTTTTTTCCAAGTTTTTGAACTTTTGAAGCTTTTCCGTTTGGCGTTCTGCTTGCCTTGTCATAGTTGAGTCTCTTCGGGTTATTCATGTGTTCAAAATGTGTGCTTCCTTTTGTCATCATGTTATTATTAGCAGTATTTCTTCACTCTATTTTAATATTGTCGCTTTCGTTTGTGAGGCTAATTTGCCTAGCATATTCCTCCAGCTTTCGTTGTTCTGCCTCTCTTTTGAGAGAGGCGTCCACTATAATTTCCTTTTTCTGTGCCTTACTCATTTGTTGCCAACTCATCATATGTTGCATTTGCAGCCTCAAACGATCGGAAAATAATTGCTTCCGATTAAGTATTTGGATTTCACGAGATCTCGGCCGATGCACCTGTGCTATCACCTGAATAATCAGCTTTTCTGTGACGAAAAATGTTGATCTTGGTAATCGCAAACAACGGTTAAAATGATCACCGCGTCTTTTCATTTCATTACGGTGTAAGAAGAGTTACTAGATGTGTTGGCATAAACATTTCTGATACTGCGATGTGTGTATTTGTATTGTAACCATTTCGTGTTATAGACTGTTCAATGGCAATTTATCACATATTGATAATTGTACGGTACTTTGCTCTAGCTTTTATAGCATTATCATAGAGGGCCTCTGGTAATATTTTTTTACCTACTTGTTGAATTCAGGTAGAAAGGTTATTTGATCTATTATATTCAGTTAGTTTTCTTAGTTATTAATTTATTCGGAACTGTATTTAAATTTATGTATGTGGTGTGGTGACTGTTGCAGTTATCACACCGAATAGGTAAGTCCCTCTAGTACATCTTATATAACGATCATTTTGAAAGCATTTTAAAAAGTACTAAATGCACTCAGTAAATTAGTGCGTCAGAGGCACTAAACTTTACACCAAAGATGACACAAAAGGGTTTCATAGTGCTTCCCTTAGTCCCCATATTTTCTAATTTCCGCCGGACAATATGTATAATATCTTAGCAAAATTAGCTGAACGTATAATATTAGATGTACTATAGTTTAATATTGTCACGATATACGCCAACTTCCTTATGCTATATGGTACATAATGATTTTCGTTATTTTAGCAGACTTTATGCTGAAGATGTTGGTCAATGTGTGGATTACCTCCATGAAATTCCTTGAAACTTGTCGTCAATGGATTCTCCGAGCTCCTTTATAAGCTTTTCCATAACGACACCTCTCTGTATACCTTGCTTTAGCTGGGTCCCCGACCTTAAGAATAGGCCATTCTTTGGCATATGCACTATCAGCAACCTAACTTTTGGCATCTCCTTTCCCTTCCCTCTGGTTTTTTATTGTTGCTATTAAGTTGGATCATTTTTAGATCTTCGAGTGTTGGGGAAAATCAGGTCCGATGGCGCATAGTTCCCGCTACGCAAGTATCTATCCCGTTTCAGACTGCAAAATTATCCTCGACATGATACATTGATTCAGCCCTTTTATATACCCCTCACCATGGTAAGACTTCACCAGACTGTGCTATTGACAAAAAACAAACACCCCACTATGTTATTTAGTCAGACCTTACCTTCTTACTGCAACAGGAGCGAACAGTTTCTAGTCTGTCCCTGTCACAAATGTGGTATCTACTACCAGTCGTGCGCGGTACAGCTGGGGATTTTGCCGACCACATTTTTTACGATGATAAATAATGAAGAATCCATTTGATGTATTCAATTTATTAAAAATTTCATTAATAAGTGTAAAGTCATATATTTTTTATAATTTTTCATAGTATCCGTTTATGGGATTAAAAGTTTAATCAGCTAACAGGCAAAGAGGCTGGTGGCAAGTGAAATTCAGTAAATAAATATTTTTTGCTTAATTTATTAACACAATTACTTAACTACATCAACTTAACGTATTTACACATATTTTTAAAAAAATATAAAAACTATTTTAGTACTGATCAAAAGTCATTTATCAACATTGATCATCAGGTTTAATATGCTGAACCATCTCGGTTTTCATGAACTCGCTCCCATCATCTAATTTTTGCCGTTTGGCACAATTTCCTTTTTCACTTTCATTGTCTTGTGAGTCCAGTTTCCCTATAGCGATAGCTGCCTGCTTGATTTCCATTCTCTCTTCGGGCCTCATCTCTTTCCAAGCTAGCATGTGTTTAACTTTCTTTTTCAAACGATTGCAAAATAACTGCTCCCGGTTGAGGGTACCTAAATCGTCCAAACCTCTCTGTTGATAGAGGTGCTTTTTCGTTTCTGAGATGAGTGTATCGGTGATGTATAACTTCGTTTGAACCAAACTTAACATTTTGGCGAACCGTTTGGCACGACTTCTCAATTTATTTCGGTGTACAAACAACATATAGCTCAATGTTGGTGCTTGGTCAGTCTCGAAAACTTCTTTTGGGGAAAGTGGCATCACTTCGTTTGAGGACATTTTTAGAACTTACTAAATTGAAGAATACTAAAGTACGACAGGTCTGTTCAGCACATGAGTTGTAAGCAAAATAATATTTTTGAACAATGAGCTTCATCCTTTATAGTATAATTTCGAAGGTCAGGTTCTTATCCATGAAGTTGTTCAAAATGTCGCAGGTAGGCTCTCGTCTTAAATTATAAACAAACCACTTGGCAAATTATAAAGTTTTCAACCAATTTAAATATATGCAGTACCTGTACACGTATGTACTTGTACAAAATGAATAATATTATATGTACGCCACCTTCCCAGGGTAACAACAATTTTAGGAATTTTATTATCTGTACATAAAAAAAAACTTTCTAACTTGGGGTGCAACCAAAGTTGGTGGAAATACCTTCAGGTGCAAAACGTCAACCAGAGGATCCGAATTCACGCAAATTTAGAAATATATAACTCATACACTGACCAACAAACTCATCATAAGGTTATTTAGAATAACGAAAATCATTATTTGCAGCACATTTTTATACCCTGAACAGGGTATATTAAGTCCGCCATGAAGTTTGTAACACCCAGAAAGAAACGTCGAGGACCCTATAAAATATACAAATATAATATATAAATGATCAGCATGATAAGCTGAGTTGATTTAGCCATGTCCGTCTGTCGCGTTCAGATCGGATTACTATATCATATAGCTGCCATACAAACTGACCGACCGGAATCAAATGCTTGTGTGGAAAACTCTTTCACTTAACGAGGCATCTTCAATAAATTAGTCATGGAGTATTGTCTAAGACAACAATGTAATCTTTGAAAAAATTGTTCATAAAATACTTAAAAGCTAAATGGTTATTATTTGCTGCTACTGTTCCCTTGCTAGGTCAGAAGGCTTCTTTCGTTTCAACCAGATATCTCGCACAGCAGTTTCGATGAGTCTGGCAGACTCCTTATTAATATGCTGTCTAAGCCTCAGTTCGTTTCATTTACCGCTGAATTCACGCCTAGATCAAGTCCTTAGTGAATTGATTTATTTTTAATTTTTTTTTTACATTTATTTAATTTACTTTTCATTTTACACTCTATACGGTATAAAGCCAACCGGAAGTTTGAAAATCTTATATGGGGTATATGGGAGGTAGGTGTGGTATTGACCAAGTTTTATCTATGTTTTTCATTACTACATATTATTAACAGAAAAACGTGCTCTCTGAGTTTCATTAAGGTACCTCATATACCATCACCAATATATGAGAAGTAAAGTCAACTAGATGCACCGTTATCCGAAAAAGCCTTTTTTTATTTTTTAAGAAAACTCACACATTTGCCCATATATGTGATCCAGAAGCTCGAAATTTTTTCTGCGTTGTTCCTTTTCCAATGGCTCAGGTAATGAAGCTTACCCTTTGTGACAAACGAATCCAAAATGTAAATTACGGAACTTTGGCAAAGCTGGACGTGCCTGCTCTAGTTGTAAACCTGCGAGAATGTTAATCCAAGGTCTAAGGAAACTGGTACCTGCGCAATATTTCAAATAGTCCCGAGTAATGAAAGTGAAACTTTCCATATGAGAGCGTCGCAATACTCACATTTATTATTTTATCGAGCCAATAATGAATAACGGATAACTATGATATTCAATTGAAAGATCATGTTGAAATGCATTATGGTTAAACACAAACCAATCCTTCTGCATAAAATTTTGATGGCGTGTAACCTGAATTATTGGGAAAATAAGGTGTCTCGCCTGCAATTGTTCTTGCGATTCCATCGCTCTTATAGCTGTCTGTTGCTCATCTTGCCTTTCTAAATGAAAAAATTAAATGAATAGGCATTTCAGCTGAACACATTTTATTGCCCTACTTGCTGTTGCCTTCCTAGCTCTCCATGAGCGGAAGATTCTCGATTTCGTGCAACTTTAACTACACGGGCCCGTGACGAACTTCTGAACGAATTTGATTTATGCTTGAGTGACATTTTTTGTTTTGATAAATTGTAAAAATTTTCAACAAACAACAAATATATATTTTTTTAGTTTCAAATTTGTGTACAAACAATCAAATTTGCCAAAAGAAATTTTTCAATCTATAAAGTCTATAATTTTTTTAATAATAATAATCACATGTCCTTTTTCATATCATTAAAAGTATGTGTACAAAGTTTCATTATTACCCGTTGAGTAGTTGCGGCGTGAAAGCATAGCAAACAAACTTACATTCACATTTATAATATTAAATATACCTATATACAAGTAGTAAGTACTGTATTCATATGGTCCACCATGTCGTATAAGCAACAATAAATTGCTCAGGTCATTTGAACTTTTAAACAACGTTCATAGAATACAAGGTTACGACAACTTTGAAATCATATGTGTTATGATGAAGTTGGTACAACTTGGTTGATTGCCATAGGCTTTTAAATATGTTTATGTTCTTTAATCTTTGAAGTACAATAGCTTAAAATATTAGCTGTAAAACACTATAAACCGATAACTTACTTGTTAGCAATTAATAATAATTTGTATCAGCGATGTTATTAAGTAATTTTGCACTTAATAGATTTCTTTTGGTTTTCAAAATTATTTCAATTTACACATAGCAACTCTAATTGCCTGATGATATTTGAAAGATTGACATATTTAAATGCGGACGCACATTGTTAAAAAAAAATTAACTTGAAAATCAATTTCTACACATTTTCTTCATAGATGAAGCGCCTTTCTTAAATGTTAGAACCTTAAATTTTGCAAAAATAGTTTTAAAAAAGTCGAAACGAGGATAAAGCGTACAGCTATCTATTACGACGCAAAGATTAGTCGATATTCAAAAATCTTGAACCTCCACTAATTTTAAAGTAAATAATTTCAATTGGTAATATGACGAATAATTTTTTTTTTTTTTCAAATTCGTTCCACTGTAGGTATGACAATGTTTGTTTTATGACCTCAACCTTCTATGCTATGAACGTTCATTTTTAAAGGAATGTATTTATGAAAAAAATTATGAAAACCTTTTTTTTTATCGCGGAAATTTTTTTATTAGAATATTACGTTTTGAAAGTTGTAGATTTTTTTTGATTAATGCAAAATATCAAAAAATTCCATATTAAATATATGGGAAAAGTAAAATGGTTTTGGCAATTTTTTATGTTGGATCCTTATGTTTAGAACCATAACTGAAACTTCAGGAAACGTTTACAAAAACTCAATTAACTTGGGAAACAGACACCCTGATGCTTACATATGTTCAGCTTCATATAGGTGCGGTATGGAAATAATTATGGAATATGTCTATTAAACTATTTTGGGACAAAGTTGGAACCTATCCGGATATATATTATATATATAACACGCTATTATTCTGGGAAACGTTCAGTCGGTTATTATTTTATAACACAATTGCCATTTTAACTCAACAAAATATTGCAAAATTTGCTTCAGACATTAGAAACGTTGTTCGTTTATGGCTCAAATGGAAGAACAAACATTATGTATGTTCGTATGAATTAACATAAACTTATTTAATTGAAAGTTATATAAATGTACAAGGCAAACTTCTTCCTTATTGTAGTTAATGAAAATATATTAAGATTAAGATTAATTTTGTGAATTCCAGTATGCGATGGAGTTTTTGAGGGCAAAGGTCCGTTATTATTATTTACATGTATACGCATACAAACATAGTTAAAATTCACTTAGTGCAAATAATATAAAATAAATTGGAATATTCACTTATTAAAAAAATAATTTTCCTTTTTCATTTCACGCAACCCAACACTTCACGAACTTATTCATCTTTATTCACCATTACCAAACAACACACTCACACACCACTCCACTAAACGTTCGACATCCGTTCACACGGAAATGCTACCAAACGATGATAATGGCAACGGAAATGCCAAACTAAATATCCGCCGACCCTACTTTCCGCAACGCCCCTACTGCTGTGTCGGAAATTGAAAAACACAAAATTGGAAAATGCAATACCACAACCACCTCCATCAACGCCGCCACCAACTGTGCTCGCGTGCTTAAACGCAACGATACGGCATCACACGCTCGCTAACTTTCGAAATTTATGCTTGCACACAGATACGCCTCTCCTCGGACAAACTGAGTTTTGATCTAGTGCCCGATTTGGGCAGCAACCTCACCCACTCTACAGTGATCAAAGTGAATAGAGCCACCTCTTGGCATTCCGTTGAACTGGACTACAAAGCGGGCGAAATCACATTCACCGTTGACTACCATCTAACACAGAGTCAAATGTTTGGCTTGACTTTTAATATCGGCGACAAGTTAATTATTGGCAGCAGTCTTAAGTCGGCCGCCTCTGGGCTGGTCGGCTGTATACGGGACATTGAAATCAATGGTCATCTAATCGAGCCGCGACATGTTGTGAAGACAGAACGTGTGGTGGGCGAGGTTGCGTTGGATAACTGTAACTATATTGATCCGTGCAAACGTCCGAATACTTGCGAGCATGGCGGCAAGTGTTTCGTAAAAGATGATCGTGTCACATGTGACTGCAAACACACCGGCTACATTGGCAAGAACTGTCATTTCACGAAATATCGCAAGACTTGTGAGGAACTGGCCCTACTCGGTTACACCAAATCTGATGTGTACCTCATCGATATTGATGGAAATGGTGTATTTCCTCCTGCGCATGTTAAGTGCGACTTTCAGAGCTTGGAGAATGCTACCAAAACTATTGTCGAGCACAATTTACCAAGTCAAGTTGATGTTCGTTCGGCGAGCGAAAATGATTTTAGCTACAACATTCGTTACCGCGAATTTTCGCCAGACATGTTGCAGGAATTGATCTCACATTCATTATATTGTACGCAGTACATTAAGTACGACTGCTATAAGGCACCGTTGGAGCTGCACTCTGCAACTTGGTTCACTTCGTCCGCGAAGAATCTGACTGTGGATTTCCTCGGCAACGCAAAACGGTATGTTTTATATAATAAGTGTATACAATAAATTCTGAAGGAATAGTAATTTCCTGGATGGGTGTTCAAAGAAAATGGTGAATTTTGATTTTTCGCGGGGTATGTATTGTACATTCGATTATCAATATTTTGTTTTTGTTATAATCGGACACATATGTTTATCATGTGCTTGCATTAGGAGCCAATTTCGTTTTGTAGTTTGTTTTTGACAACAGAAAAGGTTAGTCACGTTTTTGTGTGCTCTTCGATTTTTGACTGGAAAGAAATGGATCAAAGAATATGTATAATAATAAAATAGAATAAAGTGCTCCAAGGCACTTGAAATGTCGACTGTGGCATTCGCTGGGTCCGCTTTGGCTCAAAAAAGTGGTTATAAGTGGAACAAACGCTTTACAGAAGGCCTAGAATGTTGATGACCCGGAGGTGGGACCACGTCAACAAGCGAAGAAAACATCGAAACAGTGAAAAACATTGTTCTCGAAAATTTTCGAATGACTATTAGGGAAGTGGCAGAGGATGTTGGCATAATAATCGGTTCATGCCATTCAATTTTCTCGAATCCAAAAACAAAATCGTAATCATGCCTCAACCACCGTACTCACCAGATTTGGTTCCCTGCGACTTTTTTCTATTTCTAAAACTGAAGAAACCATTGAAAAGAAAACATTTTGCCACAATTGATGAGGTCAAGTCAGAATCCAAGGAAGAGCTGATGGCCATACATAAAAGCGCATTTCAGAAGTGCTTCGAGGATTGGAAAAAGCGTTGCCACAAGTGTATTATATCCGAAGGGGATTACTTTGAAGTGGACAAAATAGATATTGATGGATAAATAAGTACTTTTCAAAAAAATTCAAAATTCACTTTTTCCTTTGAACACACCTCGTATTAAAAAGTGTATGCCTTAAAATGGCGAGGGATTAATTTCAATATATAGTGTCGTATTAACTTTTTCTTACTTTTTTGAAGCCCAAAGATATACGCTGGCTATTTAAATTGAAAAAATTCACTTACTCACTCCGTTCTGATACTTTCGCCAAACCAGCCCTTTAAACAGCAAACTAGTCATCATAACCACCAAATAGTTTGACTTTGTTTTAGCTTTTCCACTGAGATTTTAAATTATCTCTGTCTCCTTAAAATGCCTAAGGTACACATTAGTAATTCCTCCTTACGTTTAGAAAAAAGAGGAATTGCATCTCTTTGGGGAGTCTGTAGTATTCACACTTATATGCCAACGACCCATTGCATTAACTGATTATACCATTCAATTTTATTTCTTCTTATTTACACACATTTACCTTCGAATTCATGAAAGCCTGGTTAAAAGAGATAGCTCATAATTTTTAGAGTCGGCTGCAACCAATCTCAAAGGCCGTAATTCGAGGTATATGCCCGGTTTTCGCTGAACACGAATAACAGAACAGAAAAAGTGATATTTGTATCTTATGACATCTATTGTGATCATCATATGAAGGAGAAAATTTTGGTATCTGAAGAACTCCGTCACTAAGTACATTCGTTTACACTAGCAAATTACGACCGAATCCGAATTCACATAAGAACTGGACATTCATCAAGGATAAGGTTGTTAAAGAATTTCTCCATGACTGCCGTGAACACTACTTAGTTCTGCCATAAGTTCTGTTACAAGTTCAATCTGTTATGTATAAATGAAACTGCTTATTACATTATTAAATGAACGATGTGCAAATTTTTTACATAATGGTCACTCTTTAAATTTCCGTGAGGTATTCAACAAGCATGTTTTCCAACCCTGTAGTGCAATGGATTCAAATTTGGACTTCCAGACGGCCAATTCATTTCGAGCTATGAAATCAGAAATATTGTTTTTAAGCCACTGATAGATGGATTTTTGAATTGTATGCTCTGACAGAATTTTCCTAGAAGATCCAAGGCTCTGCATCGAAAAGGGTATGGCATAACTGCTTTGTCACTCTTTTTAAAAATCATGCTGATCAACTTTTGCTCCAGGCTTAGCCCCTTTTTCGCGGAAGTTAGGAATAACTTCTTTACATAACATTTTTTGCATCTGCAGCAGTTTTTGCGTAGATTTGTTGTTCTGCTTAACCCAACGATTACCCTCTTCCTGCCCAACCCACGCGATTGGCGAAGTCCGCATACGTGCGGAATTAGCCGAGTCAGAGAAGGCAAGGACGTTTTTTAAGTATTGAGATCCAAACCTGCTCAGCTACAGAAACAAAAATTTCAACAGCTCAGGTTTATAGTTATTAGTTACAGAGAAAGCAATAAAGTCTTTTTAATTTTGAAAAAGGAGTCAGATAAGTCAAATGTGCTGGAATGAGAATTAAAATCATGACATTTACGGCGGAATGGGTCGATTAGTTCGAAATTTAATCTACAGGATTTTAACAGTAAAGGTCTAAACTACCTCGAAAAGTGAACCAGGATATTATTTTCCTACGACTAGGAAGTGTAGGTAGTTTTAAATATTAATACGACTAGTGTATGGAGGTAGACTTACTCTAGAATCCCATCAGAAATGCCCTAAGGCGAAGAGTACAAATTTTTGTTGAACAAACTCTAACTTGTCAGAATTGATTTGGTAGCTAGGGTCATATACTCCCAAATCAACGTTGTTAAAAATTTGCTCTAGACTATGGTGTTTTATTAAGTTTGTTTTGTTTAAGTCTGTTTGCAAGAGACACCTGTCATCAGTTGAAGTGTATGATATAAAAAACTTTACGTCGCCGGCGTATAATGAATTTTTGAGAATTCTATTGTATTACAGAAGAGATATCGTTAATAAACAACAAGCAAAGAATTGGGCCAAGATGACTACCTTGCGGAACACTTGAAGAGACTTTAATTGTATATAGATCATCTCGAATAAGTCTTGACATTTTTTTCATAATTTCAAATAATTTTCTGTTTTCTTATTGGATTTTTGCGAATGATTTCGCAACGATTTTTTTTTCTTCCAACACCTGTAGAAGTTTAGGAAAAACGATCAATAGTGCGGTTAACAAACAATCTCGAAATATTAAGATTTTTAAGAGCTCACAAATTTCACATGCTCCCTTTTCACACTTACTCATTATTCCGCTCTTTTAACTTTAGTCATCATTTTACGCACAATCGACTACTTTTTGGCACTATTTGACGAAAGACATTACATTTATATATGTACAAGGTGCAATTCAAAATTATTGGTCGCCTTGAAAATAGTCTCCGCCTGAATACAACGTTTTGCACGTTAAAGAAGGTTTTCGAATGACTTTTTTAGGTCATTTGTCGGTATAGCGTTGAGGATGGCGGTCGTCGCCTTTTGGATGGTATCAACGACAGCATAGCGGTTTCCTTTCATGGCCAAATGTACTTTTCCGAAAGGGTAGAAGTCGCACGGGGCCATATCAGGTGAATACGGGGAATGGTTGATTGTTAAAATTTGATTTTTGGTCAAATAATCGGCCACATACGTCGATCGATGAGACGGCGCATTGTCGTGCAACAAACGCCAACTTCCATCTTCGCGATATTCGGGCCGAATGCGACGAATACGTGCTACCAAACGCTTCAAAACTCCAAGGTAGAATACCGCATTAACGTTTTGGCCGGGTGAAACAAATTCTTTGTGGACAATACCCTTGGAATCATAAAAACAAATCAGCATTGTCTTCACTTTTGATTTCTCCAGGCGCGATTTTTTGGGTTTCGACTCATTTCTCGTTTATGTCCTCACGACCACTTTGAAAACATTTAAACCACTCGTGAATACGGCTACGGGACAGACAATCATCGCCATAAACTTGTTTCATCATTTGATGAGTTTTGGTAAAAGTTTTACCAAGTTTAAAACAAAACTTAATGTGGGCTCTTTGTTCGATGCTCATTTTCCGACCGACACTACAAATGTAATGTCACATGTAGCGCGAATATGAATGAAATTGGTTTAGACCTTGGTCGAAACGTCATATCCCTAATATAATCAATTCCGATTTTCTGGTTGACGTTTGGCAAATCAACTCAATATATTAATTCAGATACTTACATCTCATTTGGAGATGATTTTAATATAATTTTCCCTAACGCGGATATATTTAATTTCGGCACCCTTAACTGCAGTTTCGCACATTTTTATACCCTGAGCTGGGTATATTAAGTTTGCCTAGTTTGTAACACCCAGAAGGAAACGTCAGAGACCCTACAATATGTACACGTAATGATCAGCATGATGAGCTGAGTTGATTTACTTATGTCCGCCTGTCTGTATACAAACTAGTCCCTTAGTTTAAAGCTATCGATCTGAAATTTTGCACTTGCCTTTTTCTCACTAAGAAGCTGCTCGTTTATCGGAACGGCCGATATCGGATCACTATAGCATAAAGCTGTCATACAAACTGAACAATCGGAATCTAGTACTTGTATGGGAAACTTTTTTATTTGACGTAATATTTTCACGAAATTTGGCATGGATTATTATTTAAAATAATAATGCAATCTGCGGAGAATTTGTAGAGATCGGGTGACTATAACATATAACAGTCATATTAACTAAACGGTCGGAGCAAAGTGCTTGCATGGAAAACTTTTTCATTTGACGAGATATCTTCACGAAATTGGGCATGAGCTCTTGTATAAGGCAACAATGTAATATCCGCAGAAATAGTTCAGATCAGACCTCTATACATACAAATTGAACGATCGAAATCAAGTTCTTCTAAGAAACCTTTAACGTTTAGGGTATTATAGTTTTGGGGCAACCGAAGTTAACGTTTTTTCTTCTAAAACTTTATGTCATATCAAAAACTGTAGCGAAAAAATCAAACATTCATTTTTCGAAGAAATCTGGAAAGGAGTCGTAGACTCACTTAGTTATTACTACCTTTGGGTGTCCGAATATTAATATTAAGATCAACCTAATAAACTTAAGGGAGATGTATATGATATAAACGCAATCAAAGCTAAATTTAATATAAGGAAAATATCCACCGGAAAATATCCATCCGGTATATAAGGAAAATATCCACAAAAGGGTGGGAATTAAGCTATAATATATCCAATATTATACTTTTACTTAATTTTGCTACGATATCTTACACATTGAACGATATATTAGATGTAGTAAAAATAAATCCATTATTTTTGCATGACATTGAAGGCTTTAATTACCATAGTTAGAATGATCCAATTATTTTTACTACACTTAATATATGATATAAAACCATAAGTTTTAAATATATATATTTATATCTTATCAATTTTCTCATAAAAGATATATGTGATCTAAGGAATATTTTGATTCGATTTAATCCAATTTTGGTATTATTTGGTATCATTAGCAGAAATGAGATTTATCTCTGTACTTCATTAAGAAACCTTACTGATTGACCAATATATAAGGTATAAAGTCAAGCGGATATATCATATAATAGGTATATGCGGTTTAGGCAAGAGGATAAACTGTTATTACAAGTACAAAGATATTATTTCTGAATTTCATAAAGATTTCTTACATATTGACCGATAGATATGGTATAAAAGCGATCGGAAGTTTGAAAATATTTATATCAGGTATATGGGGCTAAGCTATTTGTGCGAAGTTTTATTCTGATAACTTCATTGATGTACGATTTGTATAGTGGGGAGTAAAATAATCAGATGGAATTTCTAAGTTTGTATATGTGAGGCATTTTCACTGTGGATAAAAGAAATGTTTAGGTAGCCTCAACAGATTTCATTGAAAGCGATTAAGTAGTTCCTGAGAGACAGCATTTCACTTAAAGGTGGCAGTGCCACGCCCCTTGTAAATTTTTTACACATTATCCTAAACAATCCTTCCCTACCATCATGCTGTTTATTGTTCGTGGCGAATATATTCAGTGAGTTATCGCACTTTTAGTAGTTTTCAATGTAAGCGTTATATGAGGAGTGGGCGTGATTATTGTCTTATTTTACCCATTTTCGCATAATGCTTAACGAACTTCTTCTCATCAAGTTTTGTTGTTTTAGCTTCAGCAGTTGGGAAGATATATATATTAAACCATTTAAAAGCAGGCCACGACCACTTTTAAACATTATTTTGCCCAAAAATTTCTCTTGCTACTGCGATCCCCTGTACCAGTTACAGTTTTGTATGTTAATTTCGTACTTAGTTATAGCAATTTATATGTTTTCATTTAATGGCGTTTTGTGGGCGTGACAGTGGACCGATGACGCCCATCTGTAATTCCTCGTTGCATACATTGCGGGAGATGAAAAGTATATTCCCAGAAAGAGAAGAGAGCATCTTCTGTACTTCTCTTTTCAAGACTTAAATCTTCTGAATGGTAGCGAGTGATCAAACAAACTTGCCTACAACTCAGAGGTCACATGACCATTTCAACAATATTGACAATAGTACAGTTTGCTGCCACAACATTTCACTACCAGCATAGGTCGTAATTTAATGTTTGCTTGACATTTCTAGGAAAACAAGCATTGCACAGTCACGCTAACTGACATCAACACAGACAATAGAACGGACAACTGCACAGACCTTAAGCGCTAGTACTTGATTATTAATATAAACTGACTGCGCTCCAATTTGCGTCTTGTCACTCATGCTGCAATGCCCGGAAAGCACTGAGCGACCATTTGACTTGACTTTGTGAATGCACTCAACCTTGCGCCCAAACCCCCTTCCCGCATATAAGCACCCGGCCGCCGAACGACTGCATTCGTTTCTCCATTTCACTCGCAATATGTTTACATACTTACATGAGAACATGCATATGTATGTAATTGCATGCGAATTCATGTGTCAAGCAGCAGAGAGCTATCAACAGCAGAATGCTACAAATAGTGCCAACACTTTTCCATTCACTCAGATGTCTCCGCTGTTGGTCATCGTGAAGCAGTCTATGAATACGAGCGAGTAATTTCTGTCAGCAATGATGCGAACTAGAGATGATTTGTGTACTGACTCAACACGCAACAATACTAATAAACACACAACTCTATTGGATAATGACAACAGTCGTAATCACAATTGTAATGCCAACACAGAAAGTGGCTGCGAGAGTATGTAAGAGAATGACAGCGGGAATAATAACGTGACACTTGACAGACATTGTAAAATTGCATAAGGAAATTACGAGATTAGCAGGGAAATGTACAACACAGTCACTCAAATGTGATATTTGAGTTTGAAGGGTTGTATGTTTGACGAATAAAGTTAACCAATAATTTATGCAATGGCTTTCTTAAGTGAATTTCCTTAAATCTTCAAGAAGGGATAGTCTATTTGAAAGGGTTAGAAATTAAGTTACCATATTTAGTGTTGTCTGTGAAAATTAGAAACTGTATAGAAAGGCAGATTTTTTTATGGGCTTTATGAGTTTAAAACCTATATAGCTTTTAAATATCGTGAATCCTTAGCGAGGTCTTAGACCAAACTTTAATAACTATATATGAAATAATTGGCTGTTCGTTTAAGAATGAATTTTTCAAAAGTTTAGAAGAAAAGAAAGAAGGCCTCTATTAGAACTTCAAGAAAATGCATAACTCTTTTAGAAGTCAAGCCTTTTAAGAAGTAAATAGTCTGTATTTTTGACGACATGAAGTAAAGTCGTCGAGACTACAAATGAATATAAAACTTGCTAAATTGTAGATTAGGAATGTACAATAGAAAAACTTACAAAGTTGACCTTTTCAGTAAGCACAAGTCTTTAAAACTTGGCTGGTGAGCAGGCTCAGTTATATATCCATCTATGTAATCAGTTTAATTCCAAACTATAGTGGATTATTCTGAGCTCTTACTTTCCCGTTCATACCCAATTTGTGGAATATTTATCATAAAAATTAAAGTAATTTATTCGATGAGAAACACATTTAGTAAGAGAAAGCATAAATACACCTCCAATTAACTTTTAAAATCATCTCTTAAGAGATATTTATTATTTACGAATGGAAATATATAATAGCTCATCATATTCATGTATACAAGACTATGCAAAAAAAAAATTTAGAGAAATTAAACTCGACGTACTTAAAATAAGGCAAAGTCAAATAACACAACCAAAACTCTTTTCCGACTAACTAAGAAATTGATAGCTTAACAAAATTAAGTCCCTATCTTCACCAAAACAAAACATTCTAACTTTTCTATGGTATGGTATTTTAAACTAATTTTATTTTTATTTCTGAAATTTACATGGTGATTGCAATCTCTTATCGGTAGTGGTGCTTGTCCCTGCTCTATCAATAAAACATGTGTGGATCCAAATCAATCATGCAACTGTGATGTGAAAGAAAACAAATGGTACTCCGACGAGGGCTACTACAATGAGCCGCACAGTCTTGGCATCACGAATATGTACTTCTTGCAACAAAAAGACCTGGAGGAGGACTCACAGGGACGTATTACGCTGGGGCCATTAGAGTGTGTCGAAACGAGTAAGTTATTGGCGAGCTTTATGTGTGAGATTATAAACCTTACGTACCATTTAAATATTACGATTTAATTTATATTTTATACGCTAAGTAAATTTTTGTCTTATATGTGGAAACCGAATGTACTCTCTTAACTCGCTATATTTCTTTGCTTTTCCACCGCTCCCAGACACCCAAAAGTATGTTGTTACCTTCACCACATCACAGTCGTACATCGAAGTACCTGGCTGGAGGAAGGGCGATATTGCCTTCTCCTTCCGCACCACCGGCGAAAAAGCCATTCTGCTCTTTCAACCACCCATACGTCCGAACCATCCATCCTTTATGGTCGCACTAACCGGCGACTATCAGCTGACATTCAATTTCACCCTCAGCACAGGAACAACAAGAGAGCTGGTAATTAACTCGCATCGCAAACTGAATGGTGGTGAATGGCATAAGATTTGGATCGACTACAATGAGTATCACGTGCGCTTTATGATAAATACAGACTATCAAATGGTTGATCTGCTGCCGGAAGAAGAATTCGGACCATTCGAGGGCAGCATGTACATCGGTGGCGCCACAGCGTAAGTAAAAACACACGTTTTGCTTAAACAAACTTTTGTCTTCACATTACTATTTTCGAAATATTGACCAAAGGTAAAAACTTAAACGGTACAGCTTCAACGCTTGCATCTTGCATCTTCTACACCGATATTTTTTACTGGCGACCGAAATTATTATACTCTTATTGATTTATTACAGCCATTTTTATTTAATTATTATTGCGAAGAATAAGAGAACCGGAAGGGAAAACAGACGCACAGGGAAAGTAAATATGACGCACTCATTTTGAGAGAACACATACATACTTGTACGTATATAAAAATAAAACTGCTCATATGAACGACTACAAATGGCTCACTGTGGCAGCGTAGACGTTAGCCTTGCCGTTGAGCACATCATGATATGCCAATTTGGATTTATAGATTTAATTGGAGTTATAATGTATGCCATTAACTGTGCGCTTTTTCAGTCAAAACTGATTTACGCAAATGTGGCATGCGCCCGGCTGCAAATTTATAGGCAAACTGTAAGTTGAGGGAAGTAACGCTAGCAATGTTACTTCCCTGAAATGCACATTCAGCCCCGGGGAAAAGGCTCAAATCAATCATCTTAACAGCTCCTTAATTAACAGTGAACACTTTTACAACCTTTTTACTATTAATCAGCTCAACTTTTCACTACCTTAATTTTTATTAATAGCACTCATTTGCGATGGCGGCGGCAACTTCACGTCCTGCACATTGCTGCGAACTTGAATATCCGAGAGTATTTGCGTTCACTCATAATCCACTTCAAACTTAAACTACATCTACAGTGCTATTTACAGTTATATCAGTATATATTTGCATTTACTATATATGTATAGAAATGTATATGTATACCCTGTAGGTAAATGCATTCGGCAGACTCAAAGCTTCGTATAAATATTCATATGTAAAGAAGTTAAATTTTTCCTCTCATTTGTGTTGCCATTCCCGAGGTTAACTAACATAGTACTTCCAAGTTTTTAAACCGATTCCAAGAAAAGCTTTTTAGCGACGAGGTCCCTAATAATGGTAGTACGTACTCGCAACTACTTATTCATGGAAGTCACTCACAGCGACTTATATCTCCGCAAATAACGACCATCACACCAATAATTCACAGCTTCAATTGATATTTTAATAAATCTTACCACATTATTGCCCAGAAGTTATGATCTACTACATTTTCTTCTTTTTTATTTCGAGTGATTTTTTATTTTATTTTCATGTAATGCCTAAAACTATTTATATATTGTATCTCAATTAGTTTTATTATGTAGATATTACATATATTATGTATATTAAAACCATAAGAATAACAGGCGAGTCTGTCAGTCCCTCCGTCGGTGCAAGCGACAATTTGAGCAAAAGATTAAGCATTTTGATGGAACTTGATACACGTATTCGTTATAACGCTGCAGATAGGGGAAATCGGACCTTTGTCAGGCCCACAAAATGCCGTTGAACGAAAAATTGTAAAGGGTTATGACTAGGCCTAAAATTAGGAAACCAAACTCGTATATGGTAGATAGGGGAATCTTTATATGAACTATATTTGCTGAAAACATATCCACCGCGTCTAATATACGACAATGGATATAAATGGATCAATACTTCTCTTAGCTCCCTTATACGTAATATAAGCGTTTTCCAACTTCCTATTGGCTTTACAATGTATAACGGTCAGAGTTTTCTTAACAAAATTACGGGAATATATGTTTATTAAACTATTACGAAATCGCAAACCAAATTGAGTATAAATCAAGTAACAACTATCAACAACACACCCGTTATCTTGCTGCTACCCACACCACTTTCTGTTCAAACGTGAATCAAATTATCATCGTTAGTTAAACATTTTCCCGGTTGATGTATTTATTCTCACGACTGTTTACCCGATCATATGTATAGGACTGTGCGTTCGCTCTTAATTGGCATGCTCTTCTTTGGTCCTCGATGTGGTGATTTAATTCCGACAACGTGTAAATAAGTGAGTCAATCAGGTAATCAATGTATAAATAATAAAATTCATTGACTTGTGCAGAGAGAGAAAGATAAAATGAAAGAGAAGGAGAACATTTCAATCACATTTCATCTGAAAAATTTTTAATCGAAAATCGGGATCGGTCGTTATCTCGTTTGAAACCCACCGTTGCTACTTGGAAAACGTACGAACCTCTAAATAAAGTTGCTAATCCATAAAATTAAATATGCGAAATTTTAAGATTGACCTTTTTATGACAAGGTTGAAAAACTGGACAATGGTCGTGGCAATTTCCTCTTTAAGTAAAAATTCATACCCTTCATCCATTTTAACCACACTTGGTTCTCGAGCTTGCTCTTTCAGAATATATTTTTATACTCATTCAACATGTTGCTACAGAGTATAACAGTTTCTTCACCTAACGGTTGTTTTAGTATAGAAGATTGCAGTGGCAAGAGACACCTGTGGGTTAAAAAAGGTTTAAAATTGGGCGTTTCCCCGCCTGCTAAATGGTTTAATATACATACCTTTCGAACCGCTTAACCTAAACTTAACTTTCTAACAAGAAGTCCTTTTAGTATTCCTTCATGCACTGTGAAACTGGGTAAAATTTGATAACCCGGTTATAACGGTTATGATAAAACTACTAAATACGATAACTTACTGAGAAATTGCGCCACAAGCATTAAAATTCATTACCAAGATGGTAGAGAGGGGCTTAATAAAATGTGGGCGAAATCGGATAACAACCGCGCCTACTTCCCATATAACAAGCTTTTAAATTACATGTCATTTTTTCACACACTGCAGTATGCAAATCAAACGTCAATGCAGTTATCAGAATAAATCTTTGAACAAATAATATCATTAAGGTACTTCCTCTTACTCACAAAAATTGTCGAAATCGGATTATAACTGCATATGTCTAATATTTTACCAAATACATCGATCAGTCTTTGAGGTCTGGTATTGAAATTTGGGAGAAAATGTTTATGAAGACAACATGCCCTTGTACCAAAAATAGGTAACATCAGGTCAATACTTCCTTCAGCCCCCATATATCTAATCAAAATATTTTCGAACTTTCGGTTGACTTTATACCACATCTATCGGTCAATATGTAAGAATTCTTAAGGAAATTCAGAAAGACACTCTTTCTAATAACTGATATCAGGGCAATACTCTCTCTTGTTTAATTTTAAGATTTGAGAACAGAAATTCTTACGAATGTATAAAAAATTGGGTTACACCCGAACTTAGCCCTTTCTTACTTGAAAAATTCCTACGACACGTATTTTAATTAAAATTTCAATTTCTATTTATTATTTAAAAATATGAAGGAATGAATGTTACTATCAATAAAATTTGTTATATGCAAATCATTAAATCAAAGTTTTCCGATCATCTAATCAATATGTGTAATTTCCCTAAGTTCTGGCTTCAGTCGCTTAGCACTTACTTCCTCCTCATCATCATCTCTGCTCCTCTTTGTCTCTATTTTGGCTGTGGCTGTTACCACGACACCCTTCTTATTAGACAGGCCTGATCGACTTTGGCGCAATATCCGCAACATGGACAGTCTTAAGCGTTGGCGGAATATTTGTTCCTGTTTGAAAGCTTCTAAGTCCGTAAAATTTTGTTGCTCTTTCGTGTGCGAAATTAGTGTGTCAGTGACTAAGAGTTTCGATTTTATAAGTGGCAAACAGGGAGCGATAGACTTCTTACGGATCTTTAACTCAGTCAAATGCAAAAATAGAGTGTACCCTAGTGTGAGTTTGTGGCTCTTTTCAAAACGTTTACTGGTGAACATATCTAACGTATCTGCTTTCGTCTCGAAGACGATTTTGAAAAGAATGTTCATTTTGCTGAAATGCTGCCGCTTTTTATAAAAGAAAACTACTCACTTGATGACAGTTACAGGTATAGCGTACAGGTAAAAAGGACGCATTGAAAATGGGCAGGTAACAAGCTCACTCTTAAAAGAAAAGCAGGTAAAAATTTTATATTTTATATCTAAAATAGTAACTAGTATAAACTTTATACCGTTCTGCAACAAAAATGTCGTATGGATGTTTTCATACATATGTATTTAAGTGTTCTGAATAACAAAACAAAAACTGAATCAAGTAAGGAGGGGTCGCGTGTAGCGAATATTTTATACTCTTGTGTCTGCAAGGAGGAAAGCCGGAGACTTACTTTTAGGCTTTGACAAAACTTTATATTAACACTATATTTAACATAGAGCATAGTATTATCAGGAAGGGATTTTTTCACAATAGGAACGGGAGTAAACATATTCGGTATATGTGGCGATTGAATTGTTATAATCCGATTTGGCAAGTTTGAGTGGTTGATGGCACATCTTAAAGGCGATGCATTCATTGGTGGAACTATTAGAGCCAGACGGAATTTAAAGTTTCGTTATATCTAAAGTAGCCATGGTTGATATCCGATTTCACCCATATTTGCGCTGTGACATAGGAATTTTAAAATTATGTTATTTAATTTTGGGTGAAAAATTTTGTGTCTGATGCTTTTATTTGTTGAGTTATCGCACTTTCAGTAGTTTTCATCAAAACCGTTATATGGGGAGTAGGCGGGGTTACTCAAATTATCGCTAGCGTGGACGGAAGGACATATATGTTATAACCCTATATCCATCTCGATTAATTTTAGCTGATACAAACGACCGATTGGTGAAAAAAACATTTATACTCCGTATCAACATGTTGTAAGTCATAACTAAATAGGTACAATTTAATTTTTTTTTATTACTTTTTAAACATTGAACGTCCTGTGGAAGCTAAATTAATAATAAACTTATTGTAACCTGAATAGATGCGCTCCGATAGTGTTGAGTGGCGTAGTACGTCTTGGTTTAATATAGTAAAATGTCGTCTGTGCGGAAGTGTTTGAATTCATCTGACAGTTTCTGTTATATTTGTGGCGCAAATATAATATTGAAGCAGCAACTGAATATTACGGACTTTGTAGAAAAGTATAGATATTTGGA